AAGGATAAGAGAGGTAGAAGTAAAATCAAAAAACACCATAATATTCATTTTAAAAATCCTACATTGGCACTTGTGTCTTTGTACAAAATAAAACTTCTTCATTCAATTATCTCACTAGCCTGGACAAGGGAGCAACGACGCACCATTTCTTCACTTAAAATAACAGTGTCAGACTTTGCCCAAGGTTCTAGTATATAAAATTGGTATAGAATGAGTTTCAAAGCTGCTCCCCCTCTGGGGTCCTATTGTGGCCAGCCAACAGTGAATGGAGATCAGCACACAGAACCCAGGGTAGAGAAGAAGCTCGGGCAAACAGTCCACAGCCATCACTGACAGCTCCCTGGATTCTCTGCCGGCCATGGCCCTGTGAGCTCACCTTTTACAGCTACTTTATAGGGTACAATAAAGCTTATGGTAAACCACACAGGATGTAATATGATTCCAGAGATATGTAGTCCAAATAAAGTAGATGACTTTCCCCTCATTCATCCTCCTCTCAAATCCCCTGCTCGCTTGACTTCATTCATTCATCCTCTGCTTCATCCTCCTTCATTCTCTTTCTCCTCAGGCTGTCTCTTCTTAGTTTGGGGAATATTTGATTGGCAGGTTACAACCCACAGTATGGCTGACATTGAGAAAATGTGTTATCTGTAAGTAGCATTACTTCAAATAGTTATTTCAGAGAATAACTAAATGATTGCAGGGAAAGACAGTGGGCACATATGTAGATATTGACGGAAACTTTCAGAATACTAGAATGTTAATAAAGTTTTCACACGAAGAGAAGAAAATGGCTTGAATATCAATGACACACATAGCAGGATATATTGTGTATCCCCGAGCACATTGTACAAAGGACACACTCTTAGGTATTTAATCTATTTCTTTCTGGTTTCTTTTAAAGGCAAACATTAGAAAAGACAGCAGAGATGGAATGACATTCAGCTACGGTCATGCGCCAGACCTGTAACCATGATGCCATCGCCACATGTTGTACACCTACAAAAACACTGGCAGCAGCAGACTTTTAGTGTAAGAGGTTGAAATTGAACAAGCCAATATTGAAATATTGATAAATAAACTGACATTTCAAACCTAATCCACATATGACGGGATGGTCATGTTGAATAAATAATGCCTAAAAATACAAGCCATCATTGGGATCTAATGGTGGAGGGTTGTTAAGTGATTTAATTTATACTTTTGTGGCATTTCTGCTCGTGGTATTTTGAACCCGGAACTTTGTTTTATGTACTGTGGTTAACTGGATAGTACAACCACCAGTTTCGACAAGCACAAACAAATTTAAAAGATTTACAAATACTTGCAAACCCAGGGGTTCTTACTGTACGCTTTGAACTGTCAGAGAGCTCATACATAGAGTTCAGTAAAATATGCAGAACTGAGGCTGAATGTGGAGACTGTACTATTGTACAATATTACCTAAGCAGAAGCGGGAAGAGGCATAATGACTGGAGTGATTCAAGAGCTTCGCGCATTTCCCCACAAGTAGTGAGTTGTACTGCACCTCATGAGCCCTCACCTGTCTCGCTGCGCTCCTCTTGCCTGCCAATGAAATATGAGGCATGCTGAACAAGCCCAGAGACCGCTCTGCTGCTGGAGAACGGAAACACAATTCACACTTTAACAATACACATTACACATTCAGACAGGTGCATTGGCGAGTGCATCTTGTGTGTTCATGTGTAGGTTTGTGCATATGTGTCCTCTCTCAGAGCCCTGCAGAGGAGCCTGGCCCACTGATTAACAGTGATGAGTGGCTGAAGATAGTGAGCTTGACCCCTCTGTCGCTCAGCAAGAGCTTTTACTCCTCTGGGGATTCTGTCACGTGATGTCACCTCACTGCTCCCGTCTTAGCTCTGTGCCCTCATCTCACCCTCCTATCTCCATCACCTGCCTCTCCCATGTCAGTCTGTCTGCCTCTCCCGTGCACACGCAAACACACTCAGACCCACCCCATGCTGCATATGCACACACAAGCATGCACACCTAGACGGAAGACTGACAAAAAGACACAAATGTATACACATGGCACACATATTTCTCACACCTTTATTAAGGGGAAATTGGTGTAATGGAGAAATTATTTTAACACTGCTGCTTATCTTGAGGTGATGCATAGTAATGAGGAGGGAAGGAATGTACTATATCCTATACATTTACACAATCCTGCAGCCAAGGTAGGTATGAAGTCAGTGCAGCACATGAGGTCCAAAACTCAGGCAGCAATCTCTCCAAATGGGAGTGGTACCAGGTTACAATGCTTCTTCTCAAGAGTCAATGGGAAGGATCACACTGCCCTCCGGTGGTTAATAAAATAATCTTTAAGCATGACCAATAATTACCCAGAGTCTCTGCTGGAGTGAAAAGTGTTGGGCACAAAACAGCTGAGGGCATGTAAACCGGCTGACGAGCTGATGAGTTCTTGACTCAGAAAAAGCTCAACAACGATATACTAGAAGACTAATACCCTCTCACTTTTGTGTGCACGGATGAAGCTACAGTCAGCAGCTACTTAGCTTAACAGCAGGAACAGCTAGCCCATAATATCTATCCTCTGCCCAAAGGTAACACATTTTGCCTACCAGCACCTTTTAAGCTCAAAAATTAACATGCTACATTTCTATTGTTTAATTGGTACAAAAGCTGAAGTGTAAAAACAAGAAATAGTGGTTTTACAGCACAGCCTATTTCTTTAAAGGCACAGTGCGTTGGATTTGACGGAATCTAGTGTTGTGGTTGCAGAAAGCAACCAACTGCTTCCCCTTCCGCTCACTCCTCCCTTTCCAAGACAGCGATAACGTGAGCCGCCAAGTGCAAAACCATGGTAATGCTTTTTGTCTCGCTCAGAAGCCACCCTTACCACAATGACACTGGAGCAAAGGAAGTGAGACGGCAGCTGGCGGTACCACGTTTTTTGCACTTAATCACATTACCGCAAAAACTTGTTGAAGAACTACAGTGGCCTTCGGGTAATGTAAAAATTTGAAAGGCTGTGGCTAGAGCCGGTGTTTGGTTTGTCCATTTTTGGCTACTGTAGCATCATGGCGAAGCAACACGCCAAACTCCGTAAAGAGGGCCCGCCCCCTTTGTTGATTTGACAGGCTCATTCTAAGCTAACGAAAAACACAAACATTCATATTCTGGAACATCTCCCTCCGAGTGCTTGTTCCGATGTACCTTGCAGAGCAAGAACACAACACGCAGCTTTTCAGGCTTTTTAGGGTGGTAGATGCCATGATAGGGAATGTATAATCGTTCACCAGGAGTTCCATCTATCTTTACTTCTTCTACATCCCCTTTCTCAATGACTTCTTTCATGTATGCTGTGTAGTCCTTCTTATATTTCTCTTAACTGTAGAACCTCCGTCGTAAATGATGAGCCTGATTTCAGCAAGCTTTTTGTTATCAGGTAAGTGTGGCCTTTGCTTAAGGTAGAGGCATAATGTCCCTGATCATTTTTCCTTATGCCTTCTTTGAGATTGTTCAGGAAAACGAGATCCTCTTGTAAGACAGTCTTCCAGGGCGCTATCACATCCATCGGCGTGACTATAGGGAGTTCCTTTACAGTGACTCTGTGACACAGGTTTGATTTTGTTTCATCGAGCAGCCTACAATGCTCCACCCCAAGTCTGTAAGGATGGCATAGGGCTCGTTGTCATTTCCTGCTAATACCTGCCTGGGTGTTTCTGGGACACTGTTCCCTGGATGGGTTTTTAGCAGAGGACACCCACACAGGAACGATCATGGAAGTACTGCCTGACGCTGAGTGCTGTGGCTGCCATAGTTTCGTTTGCAGTGTTTGGAGCTGTGTTAACAATGGATACGGACCTTTCTCTACCATCACGTCTTCTGTAGTTCTCATTGTGGAGACAGGTAGGGTGCCTTCCCTTACATACATCACAAGTGACATTCCTTGGCACTGTGACATGGTTCCACACATCCACAACACAGCTTGTTATCCTTCACATATGTTCGTCGATCCTCAAGGGACTTGAGGAAGTCCGAGAATTTTCTTAACCCTTCAGCATCTTGGGCTGAATTTTTGGCCATTTTGACAGCTTGTCTCTGAAAGCTCTTTGGATGACAAATGGCTGGCCGTAGCGTTGGTTGAGCTTATACCATGCATCTCTATATGCCTCATCATTTCGATAAATTGTGCCTTTGAGATATTTGTGAGCAGGCCTACGGACGTATTTCTTAATAAAGTTTATCAGCTGAAGGAATCCGGTCAATAAGTGACATGAACGAAACCCAATCAATATACAGGATTGGGTCTCCACTAAACACTGTGGGCATTGGGAGTCTGTTTATGGCTATGCTGTTTTTGATTGCTTGGGCTAGACAGAACATGTAGCGAGCACTGGTGTTACAACGTGAGGGTTTTGATGGTATATAGAATGGTTGAAAGGGATGATGCTGAATGGATTGTGTATTAGTGTCCTGTCGGATTTCTCTGTTGCTGATCTCCAGTCTAGCACGAGCAGCCTCCATGTGTCTTTCTCCTTGTAGACACTCTAATTCAGACTTCTGCATTTCTAATTCCTTCCAATGTTTTTCTTCCCTTATCCTTACCTTTTGCTTTCTTTCTTTTTGCATTATTTCATATTGAGCCTCCTTGGCAGTGAGCTCTGCAGCTGCATCAGTCCTTTTTGCAGCTATGATCGTTTACTCAGAGTGGTGACTGGCACTTGACTGAGAAGCAGTGCCATATATAGAGTAAGCATAGTCATGGGCAAATAACTGACGGAGACGGTGCCTTTCATGCACTGCAGCATAATCGCCATCTACTGCTGACAAGCATTCAATGACTATCTTCGTAACGTCTTTAGTCACAGCCCCACAAGCATCGATCTTGCGTCTCAACTCAGTGGATGGTGTGGCACGCTCTCTTATTTTATTGTAAGCTCTCATGACATCATCAAAGTCCCTCTTCAATGTTGTCTGCTATTGTAGACAATTCAGGGGCTGATATGTCTTTCTTTAAATTTTCTTTGGATGTCCATATTTTAATTTTCCATTGATCGTACAGACTAAGGAGTCTTTTTTCATTTTTACTCAGTTCTTCCTGTTGGTAGGCAAGCATTTTCTCTGTGTGCACACGATGACGTTGTGATCGACTCGGTAATGTTAACCCATCAGCGTCATCCATTTCAAGTTCAACCTCAGCTAGTTGTTTTTCCTTACATTCAATTTCCTCTATTTGCGTTCAAATCCACCATATTCATTTTTGCAAGATTGATTGTCAAACTTGGCTATTTCCTTTCTAAAGCCAAAACACAAATTGGTTTACTTACATAGTCTATGAATGTAAACCTGCACAACACAATATATCATACACTGATGTTTAACATAAAGGTAAAAATGATTAGAAAATGACAATAAATAACCCAAGAAGCCTAGTTTATCACACAGAGATTGATAGAAAATAAAACAAACGCTAGATTCAAGTTAGGCTGAAGAGAGCAGTTTTTTTTTTTAAATCACACTGACCCTTGCTTTCTTCTTTCTTTGATCTTTATTTACAGAAGAGTAGTTTCAGCAGACAACTTGAGAGTTGCTATGGGTTTTGACATTTTCAAATATGGTAACACAGTGGAATTTTTTCTACACACCACAAGAATACCTATCCTGTGATGATACCGCTGAACAAGCAATGTTTCTATCACAAATCATTACTACGGCCGCCATGACTAACACTGAGTAATCCATCTGTCGTTTACAGACTAAGAAAATTGCACTTCTAGAAATGTAAAGATGACAATCCAAAACTGCTCATGGCCCAAAAAGAAGTACTAATCTAAGTGCTCCTACAATTTGCTCCCACAGTAGCACATTTTGACATGGATGAGTTCTTGTTCGGCACACAATGATTACAAAGGTGTCTTGAGTATCTGCAAAACAGAGTCCGAGTCTGAGCTTACACATTCTGAAAAGCATGACTGAGCTGGTACACACAAAACTAGCGTAGAAGACAATGTGACATCACTGGACAAAGCAGCTCACCACCGAAGCACCAGAATGTACAGAGAAAAGCCAGAGAGACAGAAATACACTGAGCGATTTTCTACAAAACAATGTATCATGTATGCATAAGGGTTTCCTTGATTTACTTTCCAAAACAACAAAATGAGACATTGTGTGACATCAAATGACATGTATCTGAGTCGAGTATGCTGGCATGATCCTCTACAATTTGATGTAAAGATGGGGCACCTGAGTAGAGAAGACACAAATAATTTTTAAATGGCTGTCTGCACTGAGAGGTATGACCTGCCTGGGGAGGATGTAACTTTAGCCCTTCTCCCTGCTTAGCACTTCAGTCTTCTGCCTGTTGTTTTTTTAATCCAAAAGTAAGCAGACACTTTTCTGTTTTGTTTTTCCCTAGGATTTTTGTTTAAAGCATGAGTGAGTGAGCCCATGCTTCTTTACAATGATTAGTAATAACTAGTATTGCAAAATAGCAATGTAAAAGTCAATTTAGATTCCACTGACCCCTTCACCACTACACTGGAGCATCCAGGCCCCTGTAGTAAAATGAAACAGTCGGTCCTGTCCTCTCTTGGCTCACAAAATGGGATGCTTACATATATATATATGTTCTACTTATTACAAAAATGTGCAGTATCAACAAGTTACCAAAATGAGGTATACTGTTTAATAAAACCCTCACAAAAGATGATAAAATAAATGAGTAATTTTCCTCCCAAAAATCTGATCGTTCTAGCCAACAAAAAGACAAACAAAACAAAGTAAGTTACAGTACATGTATTAAAAAGTTAGTGGTAAAGATTTAATAGAGCTCATATAAGGAGAGCATACATCCTTTATGCTGGAGGCAGGTTTTATGCGTATCCCCATTTCAGACCCTGTCGTCTCCACGTACCATAATGATCCACTACTGTGTATACTTGACTGCCAAATAGCTGTGGTCTTTCTTCAGTGGCGATAGAGACTTTCCATAGTGGAAGGGTGAACCTTTGCTATACGCAAAGCAATAGTTGCTTTGCATCCATTTAGAAATATACATACAAAAAGTAAAACTTGAATTATTGTCTATTGAAAATGGCAATGTTGGATTAAAGACAACTTTTCAAACTTTATACTCAAAAGATTTCAACAATCACAATTGGAAGGTCAATTTCATTTGCGTCACAGTGAATGGCAACTTACTTGAAACATTATCTGAAAGGCTCTGAGTCAGTGACTTCCATCCACTTGTAGTCCCAAGCTTTGCAAACACTGCAGCTCAGGCTTCAGTATCTGCAAATGGTGAATGGAAGAACTGAACTCAGAGCAGAGCAGGAACAGAGTCTGGGATTTTAGCACTTCTCTTCTTTAGATTTGTCATCATGGCTGACCTGGACTGAGAGAGGTATGTTTAAGGTATCAAACTGGAATGCTTCTGAGAAGATCATGCGTATTTCAGGATTCAGGACATACAGGATTTGAGGATGATGAGAAAGCATCAACATAGAACAGTGTCGGTAAAGAACCTGGATCAAAAATATACACATTGTTTTGGTGGTTTGCTTTAGCTCACTGCATATAAAGGGCAAATGATCATCAAACCTCAGGGGCGGAAACCTGCGACTGCATTGCTTTCTTTACATTTAAATTGTCGTCCAAATCAATGATGTCACAGCAGATGTTTTCCTTTAACAGCTGATGGAAACCTGCTCTGGCATTACTAATTTCAATGGGGCCACAAGTAAAACATGGTTGTCACTTTATATAGATGAGTTGAGTGGTACAGCAGCAGTTTGCTGCCATAGTTGAGCTTGATGTATTGCTCGTTTGCCAAATAGAGTCAGTCTGATAAGAAGGGGTTTATTTTTGTCATTGACAGTTGGTAAAATCTGAATTCTCCTAAATTTGAATTCTCCAAACCTCACTCATTTATCCCCAAAAGATCTTGGAATTGATGTTTGACCCAGGTTTGCTAAAAACACATTCACTTCTGTCCCTATTTGACTGCTACTGCAGCAAAGAAAACATGTTCATCTTGTTGTGAAGGTAAGTACATATACATGGAAAGGCTAAAAAAATAATTCTCTTTGAGGTACCAACCATGCATTTTGTTGAAAAGAAAAAAAACAATAACGATATGAGTTTTACAAAAAACAGTTGGTGAGAAACATGTCCAGGCTGTCTCATGCATGTCACGAGGGACAATTTACATTTTTGTTGCTGATGTGATTGAGTTGAGCTGGTGAGATTTTGACACTTGACCGGACATGGGTAGAAATATGGGCAGTATGGAAGAGTTTATCCATTCCTTTTTCACTGCTGGATGACAAGAAAGCCACCTGAGAGAGGATGAGACATAATGTACAACAGGGCTGGACTCAAAGCTCTGCTTAATTCTGTCAATCTTTAAAGTGAGTATTATTATTATTAACTGATCCCAAAGTGAAATAAGTTGAAGTATAGTATTATTATCTTTAAAATAGTCTTTTTGATGTGAAGCACCTAATGGAACCAGCTTGTAACTTACTCACAAACTCTTTCTCATGAGGAAACACAAGTCAATCATCACCTCCTACAGGCAAACACAAACTGCTGTAATTTTTACACTTCCGCCACCTACAGGCAATGAGTGTTACGCGGCAGTCACACCACAAAATTACATTCACTTTGTCCACGCAAAATAGTTGGGACTGGAAGCTTGGTGACGCTGTGACTACTCGTAGGGATAGTTATAGCTGTAGCTGTCAAGCTAAAAATTAACATTAACAGTAGCTGGACCGGCCAGGAATTTCATGGAATTAACTTCCTCTACTGGCATTTTGTTCACCATTGCAGACCATTTCATTCAATACAGTTATTGAACAGAGAAAATAAAGCTCTCTGAGCTAACAAGCTTGCTAACAGTCAGTTAGCGACTGAGCAAAGCTACCAAGCTAACTGGTAAACAAGTTTACACAGTTTATTTAAATTACATATTTTTACCATCAACTCCTGTCTACTGCAAACCATTGCTCAGACATGAGAGTTTAAATAAAAGTGAATAGTGAAAAAAGCTAACAAGCAGCAGTCCGCCATTTTGGACTCTCAAGCCCCTCGAAGGTCAGCACTGTCAAAGTTCACTGAAGTTCACTTAAACAGAGCCTGCAAAAAAATAAAAGTAGCAGTAACACTGATTGCTTGCAGGTGGCACAAGTGTCCTATTGCAGGAGCGAATACTTTCCTTGCCCATAGTGGGCACTTGTTGGACTGGAACATCAGGTCCAAAACTGCAACTGTATGACATCTGGACTTAGTTTCAGGTGCGTCCTATCAAAGACACTGAGTGTTTACATAATACTAACCAATTCAATCTTTCAGAGATCTGAGAGGAAGCCGCAATGCACTAAAGCAACATAAATTCCTTTTAATATAACACAAGAACGTACGAATGATTACTTCTGCAAGTACCAAAGGCTGTAAAATCAAAGTTAAGAAAATATTTCAAAAGGTGCTAGTTACATAAAACTAATAAAACCACATTGGAAACCGTCCTGAAAAGAAATGAGGTAGTGTTGTTGATAAGTAGTAGTGAGTACCAGTTCCCTGTTTACACTGCAAAAACCAATACTGAAACACTCAGCTTCATTTATCAGTCAATTATGGTAAGCAATTTGATCGAATAGTTAAATAATAAGTTAGGGTTCAGTTTGGGGTCAATGTAAAAAAAAAAATTGGACCACATTTAGTTTGTTTATTTTTTTCCATCAAACTCCTTTCCTATCTGATAAATGCAGAAATGTATCAGTGTATGTTGATTTCTGGTACTGAGCATAGCAATGTGGAAATGTTCTCATACAACTGGAATCAGATACACTTTATGAGTCAAGTTGAGTTCCCCTTTGAATTAAAAACATGGCAAGCTTTTCACATAGGAAAATTATTATACCAAGTTTAAATGACAACTAATGGCACAGTATCACATTGGTTCATCCCTAATTAGGAGTACAATTTAGAAGAGTGGTCTCGATGTGTTGTTGTAACATCTTCTCTAGTTCTCCCACCAACATAAATAAACCAGTAGCAACATAAACATGTCAATACTTTGATTCCAAAATGAGATATACACCATCTAAAATATGGCAAAAATCACTTTTCAACTGAGTGTCCCTGGTAAAGAAAAAACCATCACACCACGTGGATATATGGCATTTTGGAAAAAAATACTTCATGTCTACCAAATCTGTATACTTCATTTCTTTTTACATTTTGAGTGTTTATTTCCTTCATTTTGACAGGTGTTTTGTACTTGCACTGAATATAATCATCCATAGAAATATACAGAGGTTATAAACGCACCTACAATAATTAGGCACATGAGACCCCCACACTCCATTCAGGGAATGTGTGTGTAAATGTGTGTTTATGGGTGCGTTTGTGTGACTTGAGCTTTCTGTGTGTGTTTCAAAGTGTGTGAGTGTGTGTGTGTGTCTGTGTGGGTGGACCCTGAGACAGCAGGAGGCTGGAGAGAGACACAGGTGTCACTCTCAAGAGTGTGCAGATTTTCTTCAAGGCTTACTCCTCAGTGCCACGTTAAAAGTAGCAGTAGCCTGCGTTTCCGATCCTCCCGTTCATGATGTTAGCCTGTCTCACTCACTCACAGAACATTCCAGGCTCTCTCATAGAACAAAGCCATGTGCGACACAGTGGGAATAGCCTCCTTCAATCCACTTCCATCTGCTTGGTTTAGTTAAATCTTTCTTTTCTTTCTGAAAGACAGGAAAAAACCCAGAGGAAAATATGGTTGCATTGCAAGAGAATGCATTACCATACACAGTACTCTACCACTAAAAATGTACTGTATATGTATACAGTACGTGCCAACCTATGAAACAATGGATTCAAGGACTGTATGAAAATTTTCCACGGAAGAGAAAGGAATCCAATAATGAGGTGCATAAAAAAAATCCCTAGGGATTCTACCTGGGTACGTAAAAGAAAGAAAATCAGTCTGATGTCTGTGTTTGTGTAAGGGTTGCTGCCCTACATGCAGGTGCTACGGGCACAGATAACTGTGTGCTGCTGAGGTAGAGTGGACAAGGCCGGAGCTGACAAACGGGGCAGAGGACATCCTACCAGAGATGGCCTTCCCTGGTGCCGAAGGGCAGTGTCCGGAGTCCCCGTTCTCCAGATGCTCTGACTTCAGCACAGAACGCACATGTTTTGGGGAGTGGAAGCCATTGGTTAGCCCCATGTCCTTCTGTGGCTCTCTGTCTGCGCTCAGCTGGTCTCCCGTGCCTTGTAGCTCCCTGTTGTGATTAGCCACCAACTTTATCAAGGGAAGACTCATGGGGCTTTGGGCCAGTGATAGTTTTTCGAAAATGTTCTCTTCTCCTGGTGGGCTTGGCTGACTCAAAGGGGAATATCTGTCCTCTGATAATGAGGGTCCCCTGGTGGTGTTAGAATCCTTCTCCCTTTCGCTGCCATCCTCCTCTTTCTCCCTTCCTGGTTCTGACAGCTCTGAGTGAACAATAACTTCTGCCTCCACCTGGTTACTGCACACGGATGTACACAGATGGTCTTCTATGTCCTGCAACAAAACAGTATCACTTTTACTTCAGGTTGTTCTATTAGTTGATCTACCCAGGTCACTCAAACATTTTATGTTTTTTGGTTAAGTACAAGTACCGCGTATGATGAAATTTTACATAACTATCAGCAACAATCACAACAGACTGTTCGCTAAACCCCTCCACCAAACAGTGATGGGCAAATCACAGTTAAGTAACTGTAACTGGCCTGTCAAGATGTTTCCACATGTCAAAGGTGAGTGGTGTATATTTTTCCCCTCTCTAAAACAAAGAGCAAAAGTGTAAGGAATGGATTAAACTGTGTTTTTATCTACTCTAACTCTAAGCTTCAATTATTACCATGTCCTACTAACTAGCTTACTGCTCACTATAGTAAGTGTTGCTGCCAGGGCCAAGGAGCACACAATTAACTGAGGTCACATTAGTGTCTGAGGTTGGAGGTTATGTTGACAAAAGCCCCAGTCACGACTAGCACATCCATTGTGTTGTTGTTTCACAATAAGTGGAAGACGGTCTGTTAGCAGAGTTCAGGGTAAGGTTAGCAGCTCAATCCTGTCTTTTAATGAATCTGGGGAAGATACCATAGCATTGTTAACTGTGGCAGCATTCCATTTGCTAACTTCTCCACTGAAACATGCATCTTAAGCCTCTATCTTCAGCACAACATCATATATGAAGCATTGTATCAAGTGCATATTTAGGAAACCTTTACGTAAATTTTGTTCAAACCAGTCAGCTGGAAAACAGCCAAATCTGTTAACCTAGTTAACCTATTACTGAAATCAAGGAGCCTATTGTTTAAAAAATGAACAAACGTTTCAGGTGGTAAATCTGCCCCGATGACCCTCATTGTATACTGCATATCTGCTGTGCAAGAACAGAAAGCTTGACAGCCATAGCAACAGTAAATAAGGGGGGTGGTTTAGCAAACAGTCAATTAATAATGTCACTTGATTTGTGGTGTACAGCTAAAGTTGCTTGTTAGAGACAGGTTGATAGCTAAAATAGAGTTTTCATAGAATTTAGTTGATTCATTTACCGTGCCATTATCAGTAATTTGCATGTTGAGAGCTCCATTAATGAGTGTTGGAGAGTCTTCTGTTATGGTGTCTCTGTATCTAGTGATTCTGTTGGCCCAGTTATGACTCACAGAGCCATTCCAAGCAGCCTGTAAGACAGGGGATGCACCAAATTACAACTATTATCCCTTTAACACCACGTAACAAAAAATAACAGAATATCCAAGGCCCATCTGGAGAAGAGCTTCCCCCTTGTAGGTTTTGACCTTGGGATCAGGTGCAGGGGCATCTTCCCCTTTCCCCGGATTAGAACTTGCCATCAGGCTCTGCTCCTCTGGGGCCTCTTCTGGCAGCTGACCAGACTCTCGGACGCCCAGGGGCATCAGTGTCTCAAGCTCGTGGCTATCGCTGCACTCTGGCACGTTGGAGGAAACGGGGCAGCCTCCTCGCCTGTACTGAGGGGTCACAGCTGTGGAGTCCAGGCCCCCAGACACCTCCCTATTTGGATGAGAGGGATAGTAGTAGTTGGGTAATATAGAGGTCTGAACGTTACATACAATTTCCTGGATTGTTTTAGCTGGCTTTTAGTTATTAAGACAACAGTTGTTGTAAGTAAGTAAAACATTAAACACATTCAAATGTGCAGAGGTTCTGTACGACTGCCGACACTGTAGAGTTACCTTACCTTGGTTTGCCATTACGAAAGCTTAAACACATGCAGAGGAGGATGCATATCAGTCCCAGGCACACACCAACTATGATGCCTGTCACTGCATGGACGTCCAGCTCTGTTCAAATATCAGGCAACATGGAATAGGAGAAAAACACTGTTAGAATAAATGTAAAACAGAGTTCACACATGGAAGAAATATATGCCATATTGATTTTCACATGTGATCTGTTGCCAGTAGCTGTTATCTGGCTCATATATCTCCATCTTAAAAACTACTAAGATACAATGCATTTCTAGTTTGAAATTCTGTTTGGCTCAGGCCTAATGTTATGAGACTGCGTATTGAGACCTTCATTTAAGACAAAGTTACAGTAATGAAGAGATATGAGGCAACATTCAACTAGGGACAGCAGACCTGCATTGATATTCATTTATGCTAGGTGTCTTTGGCAGTCTGGACATAGAGAGGAGAGGAAACAGATGGCAGGAGCTCTCAACCACCCACCAGCCACCTCACTCCCCATTCACACTGGCAACACTATTACAGCCTATGTGAACAAAATAAACCTGTTACTCCTATTAAGGATTTGGGTACAACAAAAATACATTTTCACTGCTTATTGAATCAGGAAAGTTTAATGTTCAGATTTTCCAGAAATATGATCTACAGGTTGGTGGATGGCATGTTTGAAACAATATTCTTCTTCGGTACGTATAAGAGAAGAAAAAGGCTTAATAAATGGTCAGACTAATTTAATACTAATTATCTTCATTCTTGACGAAGTGGTTGTAATTACGAGTTTGACAGGCTCATGCTGGATAATAGTTCACAGAATAGGTCTTTATTTATGTTTGAAGACAAAAGGAGTATTTAATAATTTAAAAGTAAAGCTAAAATGCTGCCTGATGGAATTGCAAAGTGTATAATGAGATTGCATGCTTTAAACAAAGTGACATGAAAGTGAAGAAAGTGCTTTTCACAGCAATTCTGCACAAAGAGCAGTAATTCAAAGATCTCCCCTGGGGGTGGCTGATGAGGCCCTTTGATACCCACACTTCTCCTCACAATGCACCAGAATAGGAGAAGCGAATAACGGTGTCCTACCGAGCTACACTTTCTCTGCTGGCAGGGACAAATTACCCACTTTAGAGTGATAGAAAAGTGTGTATGTGTGAACATGGGTATGGGTGGGAAAGTGTGTGAATGCATGGCAAGGCTTGTGTCTGCTTATGGAAGCAAAAATGGCTGTACGATTTTGAATCTCAGAATACTTAAAGAGGCAATATGTAAAATACGGCCAGAATTTTAGTTTAAAACCTTCAAAAAACAAGCAATAACATTATCAACAGAATGTGAAAAGGCCTGTCTTGCAAAACCACTTGTACCGCAAGAGGCAATAGTGAGTCACTGTAGTGTCCAGACTGCCCCGAGTCCATCGTAAGAGGACGAAGATGTAAAGCTGCCCTAAGGGCTTGTCAATCACATTGAAGGTGTGCGTGTTGATAGTTTGTTTATTGGATTAAATTCAAAGTGGCAGAAAAGAGATGATGACTTGTGTTTCTGTCTCGACCTCCCCGCCACCGGGAGGCTGCTTAACCCGAAGGAGAGCGGGCGCAGCTCCAGGAGATGGACGGCCCTTCAGTTAGCACTTAGTTAGCAGGCTGCAGACTGGGGCTCTGTCTCCCAGTGCACACTTTCCTCCTGTCCGGGTGGTCTCCTGGCCGCGGGGAGGACAAAACGACGGTGCAGGTTGTTTTCTTGATTCTGCCACTTTGGAGTTAATCCAACAAACAATCAAAACGTACACGTGTTGAACAACCCCCAGGTTAGTTGCACAAACACAAAGATGGGTAATGGAAAACACAGGCCGACGCCACACGAGAAGATCATAAAAAAGAAAAACAAAATGATTCATATTCTGTATTCTATAGACTAAAAATCAAAAATAACAATTAGCAATCATGTTGTCATCAATTCATTTTGTGGCATCAATTAAGTATTCTCATACTTTAATGTATTTAAAGATATTAAATAAGAGATATGTTACATTTCCTCTTTATTCTACTTTAAGTCAATTTATATCTCAGTCCTAAGCTACAGATATGCCTGTCCCCCTCAGAAAGTGTTGTCCCTTTCTCATTAAGCACTTTGCATCCCTGAACCCTCTTGACGCTGAGACTGCTTCTTTCTTTCCATTCACAAATTGAACCTGTCTTTACTAAGCTACTGCTACTACCACTGTTATAACAACCTTAACTACTGCTACCACTGCTCTTAAAATTACCATCACTTATTTTCTTGTTAATAAGGTCACCTATATATTGCATGAACTTTTTGGCACATACCATATTTCTGAAGGGGGGTGTCAACATCCTTTACAGGTGAAAAAGGCCCTGGCCCCATCTCAGTTGACGCCCCCAGCTTAAAAAAGTAACGGGTGCCACTGGACAAACCCTGGACTTCCACACTGGTAATGCTCCCTGAGAGAGACAGCCAGATAGGAAAACACTGTCAAGGCACATCGTAAATCACAGTTTCACTCAGAATTTCATTTAGTATTAAACAGGATTATAAAAATAAAGGGCTCAGGATTTGTGTCATGCCAGCCAACACCTACCATCCTGATATAGGTTTTCCCACAAGTGCTCAGGCTGGCTGAGGTTGCCACTGAACAAGAGCCTGTAGCTGATGATGATACCGTTAGGCTCCAGCGGAGGGCGCCAGCTCGCCACCACAGACGAGGAGTCCAGAGCAATCAGCTGCAGCTCCTCAGGAGGTGTGGAGGGCCCTGGAGGAGAGAGGAGGACTAGGTCAGTAATTGGAGCCCAGAAATGAGGCCTCACAGCTGCGGAATGTATATTGTCTTGGTGGGGGATTTGACATGTAGTGCGACAACCATCTGCGTCCTCATGACCCCACCACCTGGGTACATGAGAGAGGGGACAAGCAGGGCAATGGGGGAATGGGCTTGGGCTCAGGTGATGATACATGGCATTGGAGAGCATAACAGAGTGACTGGTGGTAATAATGTCATTAAAAGGCAGCCCACTCTACACTCTCCGCCCTTACTTGGCTTACAGGCAGAGCTGCTGGCCAATATGAGAGCCACTACTACACCCGGGTATTTCATTATAGCCAGTTATCAGCCATCAATGCCAACCACGAATTCCCATGTCCACTGGCCACAGGCCAGCCAGCACACTGATCCACACATGAGTGAGCACACACTCACTTGCAAGCAAATGCATATATTACCGTATCTGCAGGCTGCAGAAAGCAAAATTGCAACACCTTTACCTTGCTAGCTGGAGACAATGGTTCAAATGATAAAATACAACTCAAGTGCAGCGAATCAAAAGAACAAGATGACAAAAGAACAAGATGAAATACATTATTGATAGGGAACATGAGGTAATATGCATTGTGTGGTGTAGTTCCCCTTGAATTGTTTAGAAGTTACTTGCTTTAGGGCACTGCAAAGTTGTGAGAGCGAAGAGTGTCTTCCATATCAAGTGAGTGAAAAAAAGTCTTAGTAATGTCCAAAACCAAGTAAATGCCAAAAAAATGGCATAGCTCTGCAGGAATGTTTGAATGCTTTTCTTCATACAGCACCCTTGAAAAACAAAGTTACAAAGTGCTTTTCACAGAAAAAACAAATAACTGAAAAATCAAGTAAAATGTTAACTATATCAAGCATGTTTTAAAAGCCACAAAATACTACAGGAAACCCCTCAGGGACTTTGATTGTTGGGTCTTTATGAACTGAAACGGAACACGAACTTAAATGACTGCCCTGATAGGAGCACAGCAGAGACTCACGGTCAGACAAGGTAGACTCATCCACTGTGCCGCTGAAGGGTCCCACCACGTCCACACCATTAGACTGCACCGCCAGCTTATAGCGGGTGAAGGGCCTCAACGCCCCGAGCAGTATCTCCTGAGCAGAGCTGCAACACACAACAGCACGGGAGAGTCCTGAGTGTGTGGTGTACGGTCTGTATTCTGGGCTGACAGAAAATAATAACTGACTTTGTTCAATTTTGTCTGTTTAGTTGGACCACTCTCGACTTCAACATACATTATCTTAATATTTTACCTTTATTACATACATTCTACTTGACAATCAATTAATTGTTTATTTTTATCATTGATGCACCTCTTTAACCCAAGAATTCCATATCCTTACTTAAGATACTTCTTGAATAAATATGACATAACAATGATGGTGAAGACAAGAGGAATACAGGGTATAGTTCTTGACACAGAGTAATAATACCAATTTAAGGATAGAGGGTTAAAGAAATCCAAGGGCAATATTATGTGATTCATTTCGATTACTGTATGAATGATGGATAATAATGGAGTTACTCATAGCTACCCGAAAGATAACAGAACTCTAACAAGAGTGTTTATTGATGGGTTTTGTCTCCTTCAAGAAACTCCCTTCTGGCTCTTTCAGCAGAAAAGCTTAGTGAAGCAATTTATTGGTGTCAAAGGCAAGCTAATTAAGCTAATTAAGGGCAGTTCCTGAAGCATGCTTCTTTTTAGTGACCAGTTGTTATAAACCATATCATGCTACTTCTCAAGGTGTTTCTTTGCATCACAGTTCAGGTTTGTATTATTACTGAATGATGGGTTCACACACAAATACTGTTAAAATGGGATTTGCAATATAAACATTAACATATAAGGAGTTATACAGGAAGCAGTATTGCTCAAATGTTGACCATGAACTATGGTGATACGTTTTGAGATATCCAGGGCCATTATCTCTTTAAAATCACAGGCAATTATTAAGTTTCTGTTGTTTAAACTGGTTTCTGACCTGGTGTAATAGGAGACCAGGGAGGCGTTGGTGGTTCCAGCTGGGCTGCAGCGCACTGTGTAGTTGATGATGCGTACGTTGCTGAACCGTGGTTTCTCCCAGCGCAGCCAGATCGAGGTGGAGCTGTTGGCCATGGCTTGGATGCCGCTCGGGGGCAATGGAGGGGGGCGCATGGGCAGGAACGACGACGACACTTTAACACACACATACACATTATTTACCTTGATACAATTTGTCATTTTTATTATCCCATAAAAGTGATGGAGCGAGGGAATACCTTTTCTTACAAGACGCTCAACAATACACACATGCAGTAAGATAAGTCTTACCTCTGTCATGGGTCTTGTCTGTCCTTCCCTTCCACACAGCAGCTGCTCCATCTATCTGCTTGTTGAATGCCCAAACTCTCACCTCGTACTGCCGATCAGGGACTGACACACACAGACACACGCACACACAGCAAAAGAGAATGTGAAAGATAAATATGAAAACAGAAAAATAAATGTGTATATATATATATATATATATATATATATCCCTGGATGTCATCTAAATGCAGTCGATCCATTTTTGTTCTGATATGCTGTACCTATAGTGTATGACTAATGGCAGCTAAGCTAAATACTTTTGAATGAGATGATGAATTATTAAATACTTTTCATGAGAGGTGTCCATTTCTGTTCTTTATTTATTTTTGTTAAATAAGAGTGCTAGTGAAAGCAACTTTAAATGAAATACTCAACTCAAAGTTAAACAAGGCTCTCCAGAAGCTCAGTGTACTAAGTTTGCAAAAATAGCGGAATCATTTTTATCAATTTTTTTTTCTACAGCAAAGTTGGCATAATATATATTATAATAAAATATTATATAAATAGATAAATAAACAAAATAAGTAGATATAAATATCTACTCATTTAGTCAAAAGTAGATAAATGCAAAATGACTATGGTATAAATATAAATATGAATGCAGAATACACTTATGTATGTTATCACGCATGTTGCATTTGGAGAGGTCTCAGTCAACAACTTACCCAGCCCGGTGAGGAGATGATACCTGGCCTTCTTACGGAGCCTGATGGTGTGGGTCTGTGTTGTCTTTTCTACATTGTCTGATTCATCAGCCTCCACCTCTCGACAGGACAGCTTGTAACCAGAAACCAGTGTGTGATTTGGCGAGGGATGCCATGTCACATTGAGTGTGTTCACTCTCGCTCTGACTTTCAGCTCAGTGGGGGCAAAGATCACTGAACAATTTTGGAAAAAAGTAAAAAAAAAAAGATTTCCGCATGATAACATTATCAATATCCACAAGCATTTCCCAGTATATTTTGACCTGTTGCTTGTGGAAAATCCACATAGTCCTGCTAATAAAAGTTAAAAAAAAAAGTATACTACAACACCAGTAGGAACTCTGCATAAAAAAAAACAGGAATTTTAGGAATGAACAAATGCTAAGAGAGTCAGGTTCTGGTGGCTTCCTTACCCATGATGTGGTCGCTGTAGTTGTAGTGGGCTAATGTTTGGTGCTGGGCCCACTCAGAGGCAACCCCGAAGCCAATGCCTGTCCCAGCTGCTATCCTCAGTCGGTAGGCCTGGTTGGGCTGCAGCTCTTTCATTATGAACTGAGTCTCATTACCCCTTACTTCCACAGAGAACACAGTGTCCACTGTGGGAACACATAACACACTTCAAATATGTCGTCTCTAAAAGGACAATCTGTTTTGAAAATGCCAATTAAGCCAATCTGACATATTATCTCGAACAGAACAGAACCATACAACATTAGTAAAGTAGGCTGCCAATATTTGTCCTTTTCTATGAATAAATTATGTGAAGAAACCAAAATGGGTAAATCTCTTGAATTATACTCTGTGAGTCACTAAATTGTACTTTCACTGGCAGATCAACTTGATATCCAGCAGGGGTTACTCACCTTGATCCAGAGTGCTATACTCAATGCGGTAGCGGGTAACAGCCCCTCGACTATGCTGCCAGGACAATGGATGCCACATCAGCCTGATGTCTGTGGGGGAGGTGCTGACTATAGACAGCTGAGGAGGTGCACTTGGTACTGAAGAAGGGAATAGAAGGACATATTGAACTGTTTGATAATGCACATTCAAGGCATATCCTATAGATCTGCACAGTTACTGGACTCCTGGAAGGCACTGCTGATTTCACAAAGACATTTTAGACTGGTTTGTGTTAGCCCAAAGTTACCTTTTTGGTCACCTACAAATGTCTTATTCAGTGTTGGGTTGAACTGAGCTCCACCTTCTTGTGACACATCTGGTTTAGTCTTGTGAGACTTTTTTAAAAGCAAAAATGCTCTGTTGAGTCTCCAGCGAGCTGCTACTACTACTACTCTTTAAATAACAACTACGACACGTAATGAACGGCTGATACAGATGACTCATAAACTCTTAATAATCTGGAGGAGTTACAAGGTTGGCACGATATGATTTTTGCTCTGTGAAGCATCTGTGAAGCATCCAGGGCTGTCCTGAGGTTACCAGTATGAGTTTATGAGTTTGATTACGCACCATCCTCCAGCATCTCTACAGTAACACGCAGGGATGGCCGACTGGCACCCATGGGAGAGTAAGCCACCACAAAGAATGTGTAAGCAGTATGGGGAAGAAGCTCTTTGATATGATATTCTGTGGTGTCGTTGTTCATCGCAAACTGGTACTCCTCGTTATCTGAGCCTGAAATGGATGAAAAATGTCAAATCAAATACAATTTTCAGGGAATGTGTACATACTTACTGTACTGCTATACACAAACACAGAGACACACACACAGACAAATAGAGACACACCTGCGGCGCGTTGGCAGTGCACAGAGTAGCCGATGATTTGGTCCGAGTTGTACTCAGGTTTCTCCCAGATGAGCAGGGCAGTTGTGCTGGAGGGCATGGCAGACAGGTGGCGAGGAGGACTAGGCAGACCTTCCCTCACAATGACCGTCAGCTTGGCAGTGGCACAGGCCGTGCCCAGCCCATTGTCTGCTATGCACTGGTAGTAGCCCTCATCCTCCTGCGCCAGCTGGTTGATAAGCAGGACTCCAGGGCTTTGGGTCTTTACTCGTCTAAATGACTTGATGGGCTGACCATCCTTAAGCCAGTGCAACACTGGAGTTGGCTCCCCAGAGCTGTTGCATACAAACCTGGCTGTGTTTCCCCGGGAGAGGGACACTGTCTCTGGGGGCTGGAGAATCACTGGAGGGGCTGTTGGAAGAAAGAAACAAATCCAGGATTTACAGGGGAATCGGATTATGTGCGCTGTCAAATTAAAGGGATACCCCAAAGATATTGTGTGGGGCGCAATGTTATTTAAAAACTTGCTTGTCTCGGCTTGTGTTATGTTGCCACTGACGAAAATGGCATCCACAAATATGTGTGTGCAGAGGATGTTACGGATGACAATAATTACAGTGTACATTTTACAGGGTTTTGGCTGACTCAGATCTTCAGCCGTATTCAGTCCGAGAGAGGCCCCTTAAGGCTGCAGCTGCAGTGGGGAGGTAATGAATGGTGGGGATCCTTTAGAACCTGAGCTGACAAGAGCTGGTGGTGCCTTTGCTCGAATTGCCTTCTAATACCAACAGAAACAGAATCACTCTGCTGTGAAGAATGTGAGCGTGGGTAGTTTTTGTTGGATACTGTTCCCGATGTCAGCCCTAAGACAGAAATGTGTGTGACCATGGATGGAATTTTTCCTCATCACTGAAACAGAGGTGTGCTGGAGACCTTCAGGATCAAAGACAAACTGGAAAAGACCACCAGGACAAGCAGGGCGATTTTTGTTATTGTGTAATTGCCGGCACGGCAGAGAGAGATACAGCGGGGAAACGGTGAATAGTGCCGGCATATTTTCACATCTTACTCTGAGAATTAAGGATTTATTTTGATCAACCAGAGTTGCTGAATGTTGGAACAGTGGTAAGAATAGCCAAGACATGTTTAGTGATTTATTTTTTGTGTGTTTCACAATAAGTTAACATTGCAATTAAGCCTATCTTAGTAAGAGAAAAACTTGTATTCAGAGGGTTGTATTTTTCTTCCTGGGTGTAAGAATATTTCCTTTATTGACATTTTGTGAGTTTATTTTCTGTTTAAGGGTAAGCTGGTGACAGAGACTAGTCTCAATGAAGCAGCACTCAGAAATGTCTAATTCGTCATTACTCATTATATACAGAACAAAACAGGTCTCCTACCAGGCACATGCAGCTCAGCAGCAGCATTGATAAATTCTCTGGTCTTGGGCTTGTTGGCCCGGCAGACATAGACGCCGGCATGGTGACGCCTTGTGTCCCTAATCACCAGGTTTGTTGCGAGGACGACCACATCAGTGGAAATGGGCTTTCCGTCTGATCAAAGAAGAAAGCAACAAAGAACAACAAGACAGTCTCAAATCATACAGAAGAAAGAGATCGGCCTTGAGAAAAGTGAAGATCATTTCTCAGGCTTTCAGTTGCCTGAGAAACAGCACAAAAGAGAGAGGCAGCAGAGGATGTGACCTGTAATCCCATAGGTTGACCAACAGATGGCTCTGTGACTTTTTAGTCTGGGTCGACTGAGGTGTCTGCATTGGCTCACTCCAAGGCTGTGTGTAAAATCCTTCACTATTCACCCATATAGACCACTATTTAGTTCGTAGGCCATTTTGTGCTGTTGTTGGATGCTTTACATAGAATGATCATCTACAAGGTGAATTACCTTACTATGTCACATAAAGCACAAGCTATCAGTGCACATGACTTGCATATCATACTGCAGTTTTTGACTGTTACAATGTAGAGAATTCTCTGAACAGTAAAATGTTAAATGCAAATGTGGGAAGTATTTCAGATGCAGCACTAGATGTTGCCACATCACAGCCCAAAGGAATTCCAATTATTATTCATATTACCACCAAGACTGTGTGTGTGTGTGTGTGTGTGTGTGTGTGTGAGAGAGAAAGCTGCAGAGTGAAATAATCAAGGTGACAAATCATCTTATGTAAAGCCTGACTCAATGCACAATAGAACAACAGAGGACTAGTTGAGGGGAGACAGCTCTCATCAGCAAAACAACAACTTTACAGCCACAGGTACGCAAATCTAATCCTGACTTGTTGATATTTGCTCTTTGTGCGTGAGAGACAGATAACCCTAAGCCTAACCCTGTATGGAAGTGCAACAGAGGCAACCAAACAAACAGGATGAGAACCACGAAAAAAAAGAGCATTTGCAAGCGTTACCTTGTCTGCTCCAGGACACCAGTGGCTTCGGCTGGCCTTGTGCCATACACTCCATCACAGCGGGACGGCCGAGCACGACTGTTGCATTCCGAGGGGGGGAAACAATGGCAACTCCATTCAGGGCTTCAGTAGAGCCTGTAAGGAAAAAAATAAGTGTATACTTTGGTGTTATGGATAATGAAACATTTTTGTGATTTTGTGATAGTTGCCTGTTTGAATCTTTCGGCTGAATGAGAGAATACATCCTTTTTTGTTTTCAATTCAAATACTTCATTCCTCACCAATGAAGTGAAACAAAATGGCAATTCAGTCTGATGTACATGGACTTGAGTACCTTAACATCAAGCCGTCAAAGCTTGGCTATGGGTGTTGAGGTATGTTATTCATAGAATTGTGAAGTGTAAGCGAGTGAAGTGATGGCATTAAATCTGACATATGTCACTTGTAATGGCTCGCAGTAGAGCCTTAAGTAGTTTCCTTATTAGGATCCACAACAGCAGGAAAAGCACCAAGTGGAAAAAAAGCCCAGAAACATCAGCCTCCTGGAGATTAGAAGTGTGAAAAACCATTAAAATAAACTGTACATATTCCGGTGTTATTTGCTGTGCTGTAGAGCGGGTTGTGTTTTCTACCTGCTCTCTCACCAGGTGGCACCCTCCCCTGCTTTGCACCTGCAGTGTGCGATTGTATGCAATTTGTTTCAATCACTCATCAGGGTCTGGAGGACACAGCTTAGTTTATACTCGCCATAGCGAAGCCAGTGCTAGGCGCGCACACCAGGAAATGCAAGCGGTCGCGCCGCTTGGTCGTGCACTTCTGAATTTTTGTAACTTGGTGCGCGCAATCACGTGACTCTCACAAATACTTCACTGATAAAAACACTATTTACACGTCTAGGGATTATATAAAAAAGCTTTTAGATGCTTTATAAACAGGTGGTCTTAAAAATCTTTATTTGAGTAAATATTTTGCCAGTCAAATCAACAGGATATTCAACCTTTGTTTTCTTATAATGCATGTAATACTTGACTTCTTTCTTTACAGGGCTTGTACACAGGCAAAAAAGTAGTCCATGAATATGAGATTTGAATTTACAGATAACTACAATCCTTTCTCGGCATTGTGGTGGTTAGTTTATGGCTTTTGCCAGTTACACCTACAGTCTATATGGGCATATCTATGGGTTTCACTCGTTGTCTTTTTGATTCTTCACAGTACATTTTGTTGTAGGCCCACTGGCTTTTTAGAGAATGATGAGCTGCTGCTTGTAAAGGCCCGCTGCTAACGACATACTCAAGTCAACATAGTCCTGAAGCTCCACCCCTGCTGCTTCAATATTCAACATGTCGCATGTGGCTGTAAAGATGGTGTGAAAAAACCTTTTAAAGTCCAAAACTCATTTCTGACTCACTTCCTGTGGCCTCATCTGTCTCCCTCCCGCTTTCTTTTTGTCTTTCTTTTAAAAGATACAAAGGCTGTGACTCAAATAGGACACAACGGTTCCCACATAGCAGCCAATTACAGTTGACTGATCTCTAGCTACAGAGGCAGATAATAAGACATGGCTTTAATGTGGGCCGCCTAATGGCTCAATGCATGTAATCCACTGATGCAAGTCCTTATAGGATGCAGTCACGCTGGGACTTTGATCAAAGAGAGAAGGGTGTTTATATCAAAATTGACAAATGCTGTAGACTGAAAGGTTTGTCTTTATTTAGTAAAGAGCATAACTCATTTCATTTAATTGACATCCTTGAGTTTCATTGATTGGACCATTATTAACATTTATCATTTGGTTGTTGCCATATTATTGTAAAATTGATCGACATGACAATTTGAGGATTCGATTTATTTTTCTCTGTGGTTTCGAGACGTGTAATAAAGTTCATCGTAGTAAATTAATGTTGAGGCTATGTAGAGTCAGCCCTCTGACACAATTCCCTGTGGTTTGTACAAAATGATCAGTGATACAGTTTAAGATTATTGGGAGACAATTAAGTGAATCCTACATTAATACATATATAAATGGTTTCCCTACAGTTCTTACTCACAACTTAAATAATGTTTGTATCTGAATGGCACAACTTGTGTGTCATGCTCATATTTAGTAACGGAATTGAAATATTGAAACGTTTTTAATTATTCTGCCATACAGGGAGAATGAGTTCTGTGGATGAAGAGATGAACAAACAGTGCCAAGCACGGAGGGCTCATTGGAAAGTGTAAACCTACTGTCTGCCAACACTATTTTCTTGAATCTGTATGTGTTGCAGCAAATGAAGTCTGAAGGACAGGATAGGTAAATGCACAGCACTTGCATTTTATACAAAACATCAGCAGCTCAAAGTGCTTTGCATAATAGAAATGCTTTTAATAAGAAATGAGAGGGAAATGTACCATAATGGCAAAGGTCGCTGAAGTTTGACTCTGATTAAATAGGCAGTTTTTTCAATCACAAGTAGTAGAGTTGAGGAAAAGTCTCAGATCTTTAAACAATGTGTTGTAATTGCATAACCAAACTCACCGAACTCTGCTTCACTTTGTTTTGTTCTAATTAAGGGAACAATTAGGAGAGTGGGCTCAGGATGAGTGTCAGACATCTCTTCAGACTATAAATCTGGCTTTGAACTTTTTCTAATTGTATTCAATGAATTGAGTTGAAAAATGTATAACTCTGAGCTGTAGTTCACCTTCTGTCAAAACATATTTGTATCTGCTGTCCAGCTTAATGAAAACAGTTGCAAAGGTGGGTTTTCTAATGGAAACAATTAAATATTCAACTACTCACTTTCCCAGGTCGCTAAGCCATATCGTAGTATACAGCAATGACCGAGGTGCTCAAGTGGTCTATGTATGCAACATTTTCATCACATTACACGAATTATATCCCCCTCTTTCTGGTTAATGTAGGAGGGAAAAGATAGAGAAAGTCATAATTCATAATTCCCCATTCAATGACAGCATCTTTATGAGCAGCATCACCTATTCCTACTACTGGAGTTACTACAGTCCTGGAATACACAAATGTATACAGAGCCACTGTTTCCTATTGTAATGCACTCCAGAATATGGCATCATCCACTCAAAAGATGTGTTTTGCTTCACTTGAATATTTGACCCTTAACTGTGCAGAATGCTGTATGTGCAGAGTCTGACAATAGAATGCTGTATTCACATTTATCTGCTGCCGAGGGAAGGTTTCTCTGTGCTCACCTTAAATGAGCTCATGATTTAGTGACATCACAACAAGTTTGGAAGACAATAATGCTTCAAAATGCAACTTACACAAGTGTGATGTGGAAACTTAAAATCAGAAACAAAATATTCAAAGCAGAGTACTTAAGTTATCTTAGAAACATGTCTGGAGGGGATCTTTAAGTATTATAGCAACCTGTTATTATCATAGTCTAAATAATGCAAACTCGACATATGTTATGCAAAACAGTTTTGCTGGTTCAATTCGAAAAGCAATTGCCAGAAACAATACTTTAGATATAGATTATTCATTATAGTTTAAAACACACAATACAAACACTGATTTACCCACAATACACAGTGAGAGAGTGCCATTTTGTAAGCACCAGAGAAAAACCGAATACATTTCAAGCATCTAGTCCTCAAACTCACTTTGGATTATTTAAGGATGGCCTGGCAGCTCCCAGTGGGGCCTGGCTGCCTATTCAAACACTATAAAGCACCGCAGCAGACCGTACCTGTGGTGACAGTGAGCCTGGCTTCATGAGAGATGTCTCTCCTGGCAGAGTTGGACGCGACACAGCGGTAGGCACCCTCATCCTCCTTGGTCACCTCCAGAATCTGGAGCACCCCGTTAAGAAGGGAAATAAACCTGATTTCCACAGGGCGAAACAGAAGAGAGGGGGCAGAGGGAGAAAGAGTAAGAAGACAAATGACAGAGAGAGAAAAACAACTCAATAAATGGCTTAGTGCCCTGCAGCATGAAAAATACAGCTGATCAACTCTGCAGGGATCCTGACAAATCCTCACAGGACTCCATCCTTCTTTATTAAGGAGAGAGACTATTGTGTGCAAGCACTACAGTGAAAGGTTGCAATTACAAGCTAAGCAACTCAAAACGTGACTTAATTACAGGACTAAAAATATTCTTCTCTATACAAAGACAACCACTCGAGCTTCATAAAAGCACACAATACCCCAAAAAACAGTATATACAAATTATTATATTTGGGTATATTATCTTTTTGGCTAAAATGTATATTTGTGCTGTTGATATTCACTAACTCTACTTTAAACCTACATGTCTACTTTTCCCTCTCTGATGGAGGTCATGTTCTGGACACATTACTTAAGGCCCTCAGGGCTATCGCATGCACAACCTCTTATCGTCTTTATCAAAGCCTATTAATCCCACCAAAATGTGACCAGTGGTAGCCTGTTTAGCAGAAAAGAAGGGGAAGGGAGTGGAGAGGTGGAGAGAAAAAGACAGAGGGAGAAAAAAGAGGCAGTAGATGTGAAAATCCAGGAACAAGAAAAAGAAGAGATAATAAGAAAAAGATAGGGAGCCATAAATTAAGAGAAAATGGGGAAGGACATGGATGTAAAGGTGATGATAGCGAAGAAAAACAGCAAGAGATGGCAGAGAGGCCAAGAGATAGAAAAAGGCACATTAGAGCAAGAGAGAACAGAGAGAGAGAAAAAGACGGTGATGTAGCAGCCATCCCTTGGCTCATCTTTGTGAGAGGTCATTAACAGCGCCTGAGGTCAGAGAACCACATCCCACCAATAAGACCTCATCAGCAGCGAGCTGTTTGCGGGTCATGCAGGGCTACAGCAGCCATTAGCACATAGTCCTCTGCAATAAGACTTGAAACAAAGAGTCACCGTGAAATGTCAATATCGTTAAGTGGCCCAGTAAATGAGACTATTTGTGAGAGAGCGCTGACAGAGAGAGAGATCTGTCAAGAATGTGGGAGCAGGTTTTTATATTTAGAAAACGTTTTTTCTCACAGAAGGTTCATATTGAACAGTTTGTTATAACCTCAAGGTGAATCTACAATACTTTTCTGATAGTTGTTTAATTCCTGATTATACAGTATACTCTGAAACAGTCCCATTGCCAGAGGACACTTCTTAGACCGGCATGTGACGGCCAGCAGTAGCCCTTTTTCAAGCATTCATTAAAGGTTTTCGATACAACTTTCAGAGAATTAAGTCAGTCTCCCTCTGTGTGTGTTGTAATCTGAGGTTCTCTGTGCTTTGTTTCCAAAGCAGGGGTCGGCCACGTTAGTACGTGTGAGCATGCCCCACTGGTTAGATCGGGGTCACCACATTGCAAAGCGATTATACGTCAGTTACAGCTTGCTACATCATCAGCACAAAATGTATGCAACACAGATAAATATCTTCCACTGCAATCGGCGAATGATGGAAGGCAACAAGATACCAATGAATCGTTGCATAACTAAACAGCACCATGAATTACATTTATGTAACCACAAAATCAGACGAATGTTAGCATGTTGTTAATTGTTTTTTGATACGCTGCAAAAAGGCGTTGAAGACAAAGCAAGAGAGAAAGAGAGAGGCTGTAGCACAAAATTGATAACAGGCATTGCATAATTGATAATCATCAACCAACCATCAGCCTACAGCATACTCAATTCACAGCTGGGTGCAAACAGCATGAGGGGGATGTAAACAGAAACTGAAAAACTAAAATGTAATCAACAAGTAACTCGATGCTGAAATAATCTATGTCATGGAAGAATACATTTGGCCCTTTATGAGTGCGCGACAAGTTCCTACTTCCACTAACACGTGTGTAGCGTTGAATGATGAAAGGAAATTAAATATGAAGACTTTTCTACCTTGAAAATCAAAAGCAAAGCATTGTGGTGGAAAAACATATTTGTATGTATCAGAACAAATGCAAGGAACAAATATAATACCACAGAGCTAACTAAGCTTGACAAACAAGGTCATTTAAGTATGGCATGTGCTTCCATTTCTGATAATTTATGGAACTTATGTGAATTCTTTACAAATGAACTGTAAACTGAATGACACTACATGTGTTATTGTTACAATAACTAGCTTTTATCTGCACTGGGATTTAACCTTACATCCAAATGTGGAGGGCCACAGCCAGTTTGAGTTGTACAGTACAGTAGTCTTCACATCATATTCACGAAGGTTAGCATGCATAAAATTCACTTAGCCTGTGTGTGTTTCCACATTAAATATTCCACAACACTATGGTTTCATTTTTTTGCAAGTAATAAACTAGAAAGTAATTTCCCATATGACTTATCACGTCAATCATTTTAATGATGTGATGTTATTATATAATGGACAGTACAAGGATATTCATGAGGACACACAAAAAAATGTATCAGATAAAAAAAGAATAAATACAACAACATGCACTCCAAATAATTGGGTTGAAATCGCAATCTGATCAAAGTGATCACATCGTTCATTGATTGACATTTTAAGAAAATGAATAGACAGAAGAGCAAATAGAATAATAAGAACATTAGGTTCAACAACAACACATAAAAGGGTTACCTTATCTCCTCAGGGACAGCCACTGTGTCCTTTTCCCAAGTAATAACAGGTGTGGGTACACCCTCAATCTGGCACTCGAAGCGAGCCACTCCCCCATCAGGCACCGTTTGAGGTGACGGCTCCTGATGGAACTTAGACAGACCTGTGGGTAAAGAGATGATAAAGGTCAGATGGGGTATCTATCAAAGCAGACTTGGTGATTTCCCAGAGGACAGACACAAAAAGTGGCCCATATATAAATTGCTGTTTGTGCAAATGGTCTTTTTTAATGATCTGTAATGTGTGTGTCATGCCGGCTACCTCTGGGACACAGTTTGTTTGATGTACTAGGTCCCACATAATGTGACTGACTGCTATCATGTTGAACACACTCACACACCCCCACACACCAAGTAAACTAAATAAAATGGACTGCAAAACAAATAGCTGGTCACGGAGGAAAAGGATTTGATACACTTATTGTGGGTTCAAGCCTTGATAAAACACAATAAACAACAATTATCCAATTCAGAGTTATTTCACATGGTTTACTCTAAAAAACAGTCTAATTAAGTTTAGAATCTGTCCAGACTGAATATTGTTTTCTGGCCATTTTAGGGAGTTTAAAAGGCACCGTTTTAAATTTAGTAATTTAATTAAAGACTTTATTCTTATACACTTGAATGTCCTGATTATGAGAAAAACTGGGGATTTGATCAGGTTTGGCTAGACTATTTCTCTCTCCAGGTGGAGTCTTGGCAGGAGTCCAATTTTCACAGCCTCAACACATTTACACACACGGGAAAGCTTCCTCCTATAGATTATAGTGAGAACCAGGAGGCAGCAGAGGGCACTGTCTGAGGGCCTCTAACCTCTGACCCCAACAGACTGTTGGAGAGAAGAACAAAACTGGTTTCATGTCCCAGCTACTTCGCCTGTAGCTCTGACTGAGGAGTAGAGAGTGGGGGGTGGATCAAAGGAGAGCGCAGAGAAAGAACACAGAGAAGGTAACCAAAAGCAAGAAAAAAGCAGGAAGGTAACAGAGGGAGAAACTGATATAGTAGGCTAGACAGTATATAGTATTGACAGAAAATCAACATTAGCAACATACTGTAAAAGATTAGAAATCACCATGTCACATACATTCTGTGTTTGGGTAAAAAAAACTACATCTTAACACAAAAATTAGTCATTCTTTCTGGTTTCTTTATCAAGTTCTGAAACACATTTTATCCATGTGAGGCTAATCACAGAAATTGAGGTGAGTGAGGCTAATTATTGACAATTACAGACTGTGCTGCACTGAATCCAACTGATTCTGAAAGCAACAGAATGCTCTTTATTTTGTGTTGCTCTCATTTAGACAAAACCATGTAAATGAGCCATGAAATGTTAATGAAAAGCTAAGAGCCTAATGGGCTGATCACAAAGAAATGCGTAGCTAGAAACGCGTAGCTAGAAATGCGTAGCTAGAAACGCACATGCAGCAACATGTCTCTTTGCGATCAGCCCATGAAGGCATCGCCACACATGGGTAAATTTAAACTATTGCTGCTTTGTACATGTTGTGGAAATTGTTGGCATTGTCAGTGGGACCTTCTTAGTATACCCACATTAGCATTTAGCACATTACACCACTGTGTGAGTGCAGTCTCGCATACTGCTGCACTCTCTGTGTTTACAGCAAACGTGAAGTGGTGTTTTGGCGGGGCATGATAAAGTCAAGGGGACAGAAATGAAAATGCACCGGGCAACGCGAATTATGCCACTACACAGAGTTTTTCTCCTAAGAAGCTCCCACTCACAATGCCAGCATGCAGATTAGCAGGTATGTTTACCATATTCACAATCTTATTCTAGTTTTGTGCTAATCTATTTAGTGCTTTTACCTGCCAACATGTCAATATTCAACACGTACGAACATGTAAACGAAAGTTAAACCTAATTCAATCGGCAATAACTGCAGTCTCTCGTCCACTGCCGCTCACAACAGCAAGCACGATCGGCCAAAAGCTCTTTTTTTTGTAAACTTGACCGATACTGACGGATGTCTTTGTTCTTCATTCTTGATAAACTTCACTCAGGAATGTCATTTTTTTCATTGACATTTTACTTTTACTTCCAGTGAGATAATAATGACTTTATACTATAGTGACTTTGCTGTTGCAAACATAACTGTTGCTGTCATGTAGAAGAACCGAGTAATGATAAGAGTAGCTCCTGGTTGCATACAATCCTAATTATAACTATCCCTACCTGAAGGCCACCTTAGTTCTCCAACACGCTTGAAAAGTAAAGGGGTGAACAGAGGAGTATTTAATTGGTTGCAATCTGCAACACACCACTGGATACCACTAAATCGCACACACTGTTCCTGTAAAAAAAAAAACAATGGAAGGGAGGACTGAGTGCAGAGCCTGACACTAGCTCACAAACTTGTTTTGGTTTATGGTTGTTTTCTAACTTCTATTCAATCACATGGATCCATCAAGATTTCAAGCAACCCCAATTTTTTGGACAAGATTTCCTCCAAACCACTGTAAGCCAGAGGAGACAAAGGGTGGACTATTCGAGATTACCCTAACCCCTGTCACACCAACTGTTAGTCATGGCAACAAACTGGCCATCTGTGTTTTACTACTGCGCTGGGGGAACAACATTTTTCAATGAGTACACAGAGGCTGGCAATAGTAGCAGAAAGCATTTGATTCATTTCAGGAAAAACTTGCAATGATGTTTGCGTAGTACGCTATGCAGGAGGAGTTGATGAGTAACCCTTGCCACTTCTTGCCATTACACAGAAAGATGCCCTCATGTTATCACACTGCCTGTAACACTGCCAGAGAGTTCTTAAACATGGTGCCAGACACACAGTGTGTGTGTGTGTGTGTGTACATGTGTCTAAACTTTGGTTCATGTTTGCCAAGCTACTTGACCTCAGTATTTACTCTAGTGTGGGCCTTGATGCTTGTACATGGACCACTAGTGATTACGTCACTGGATCACTGTGTGCATCTATGTGCTGCATCTAAGAACTGTATGTGGGCGGTGAACAACAGCTGATAAGTGAGAGTGCACATTAGCACACTTTAATGCAAAGGGCGGTGTTCGAAAAAGACACTTTGCCCATGCTGTGATGGAACAATGGCGACTGACTGGGCTTCCAACTCCACTATGTCAAGCATAATCATATTAGTCTTTTCCCAGGCCTCTATGAGAGCCCCTCGCAGTGAAATTCCACAACAGAACAGTCCGGCGATGTGCCGTTTTTCAGACTAACTCTCCCAAAAAAAGATGACATATCAAGCCACAGGGCCAAACAATATGTCCAATTGTTTCCTCGTAACAAGGTATTTCTATGCTTAAAAAACATTTTCAGGCAGCTCCTTGGACACTGCTCTATATGAAAAGTGTGTAACCCATCAACACACTACATAAAAATCTCCCCATCTTGCCTTTCTTTGCTCCCTCTCATTTGTCATTTTCCATTGCTTCTCTCTCTTCTGCCCTTGACTTTACCCCATACTCTCGCTCTGTCTTTGTCCGTCCCTCTATTGATGCCCCACTCTTTGGCCCCACAGCTATCAGATTGCAGTGTTTTTACCCTCCCCTTGTGCAAGCAGATAATTTCACCCGTGACCTCTTTGCTACCGAACTTTCAGGCTGACTAACAGTGTGAGAACCCATCGAGCATACCCCTCGCCTCAACAGATATTTGTAATAGCAAATGGGAAATAAGTGAGCTGTGAGATTTTTATTTCCCATTTACATTACACTGCCATTTTCAGATTTATAAAGGTGCTCAATTCTATCAGTTTTGGCATTCATGTAGGAATGACACAAAAAACATTGACAAAAGGAAGTTGATTACAGTAATTCTGTGGTACATCTTTTTCAAATGAAAAATGTTTCAGCCTGGAAATCTTCTTACATTATTAGATGTACAAACTGCTATTTCAAATCTTGAAAAGTGATTCTCGTCTACTTTTCATAATTTCAAAGGCATTGGCTGCATAGAGTTGGACATTTTGAGTCCGATAAAGATTGTATGCATTAATATAAGGCTGCCTCAAAATAGGAATTCATGTGAGGTGAAAAAAGAGCACAAAAAACATGTGCAAAGTATCACTCTCTGTAGCTTGAAATGAAAAAGAACATTTTCTACAATGTCCTTCGAAAAGGAAGAGCAAAAACATAAACGCATTAAGCACACATAGCTTGTTTGTATGAAGGAGAGAGATCACTTTTTATAACTATGACATCATCTATTTGACTGTAATGGGTTGTAAAAGCTGGTACGAATTAGGAAATATTGACATTCACCTCAGCAGTCTCATAATGAGAAAGGTTAATTGGTCTAATTGACACCAAAAGCGGCTTTTTTTCCCTTCATCATCATTTACTAGTGGACGTGTTCGGAAAATGTAATGTGCACACTGTATTCTCTGTATATGTACACTCTGGCATTTTGTAGAGAAAAGATTAAGTTACAGAATGAAATATCTCCATCTAGAGACTGAGACGGTCTCTTTCACTGTGTCTCTCCCTTTGCAACAAATTCACATATTGCTGGCGAGGCCACATGCATCAAATACTGCGACGAGGAAACTGGAGCAGGTGGGTTTCGTAATGTGTTTTCACAGATGTGATCTCTGCTACGACTTGCAGGCAAAGGCGCAGTAGGAAATGAGAATGTCCATTCAATGACAATGTTGAGGCAGTTCGGCCTCGACCCCTTGCACACTGATCACATCTATCTCATAGGCTCTCGTCACTGATGTTATTCAAAAGCCATGCACACGTCCATGCGCATATACACAAACGCAAACTGAAGGTCATTGTTAATGGTCTCTTCAGCCTTTCCTTTCACCATCACAGCAAACTCTCTTCAGCCTTTTCCGCCTTTTCACCATTCATCCCACATCCCCCCCCCCCCGCTCCTTTAGTCCTTATTGTCCCTCAAACAAGAGATCCTCATAAATAGGCATGTGACAGCTGACAAAAGCAGGGGCATCCACAAAGGATACTGTCTCATTTTACACAAAGCTAATGACTAAATAAAGACTACCACTTAAGAGTGAGAGAGAAAGAGGCCTCCTTGGAGGGGCAATTAGAAAGCTACAGCCTGTGCTCAAAGCCCTCACACCCGTATCTTCATTAATTTATTTGATTTCCACCCACATTTCCTCCTTTGCTCTGTGTCTTTCAACAGACTGTTCTCTAAAAGGGTACCTGTTCCCAGGGCACTTGTTAGCGCTGGACAAGAGGATACGTTTCCTATCTGAGGCGGATTAGAACCAAGTTTATCTCCACCCATGCAAGGAAATTCCATAGAAAAGTCTGAGAAATCAAATTATCTGTGTGTGCATGTATACCCAATTGAATACTTTAAGTGGATAAATTAATCAAACAGTCTTTCAAGTGACGCTGTAACCTACCTCTTCTTGCACTTTCAAGCAGTTTGACTGCCCCGACACATTCAGACACAACAGCTACATTTTTAATGGAAAAAGTGTAGCTGTAGTATACGATGATGTATATGATCACATTTGTTAGGAAGGAGTACCTTCATAGTATTAGCTACTTTCTCTCTTATCCCCCGTCATTGTTTCGTGCAATAATCTAACCTCATGAGCATAGCTCCCACTTTAGGATTACTTTCAATAAAATAGAAAGACATCTCCAAATGTCTTGCTTCGCCTAACAAAGAGTAACACAAACTTAAAAAAAGATATGCAATTTATAATCATAGAAAAAATAAAGCAGCAAATATCAAAATGTGAAAAGCTGGAAAAATAGCTCTAATTATTAATCTACTATCAGAACTGTTGTGGATATGTTTTCTGTTGGTCAACTAATTGATTCATTTACTAATAGTTTCAGTTCTGATTTATTAAAGCAGCTCTGCAAATGAAAGATTGTTAAACTATCCATCCATCTGTCCATTAACTTTCTACACTTGGGTATTGGAACCTATCACCGCATGCATAGGGTGAAAGGCTGGACACACGCTAGACAAATCACCAGTTTATCAGGCCTACAGAAAGACAGGAAAAAAAAGTATGCTACACAGTTTTGCGCTTCCGCCCTACATTTGCAGCATGCACGTGTTGGTTTTCCTTCATTCTCACTAATCAAAACAAACTGCAGGACTTGCAAATGTATCTGCTGGATACATACTTGCTAGGAGAACATTTACAGTCCGGCTGGTCAGGGCTCCAAGGGCGCTGGCACACACACAGCTGTAGCCCCCCTCCACGCCCTGGGGAGGCTGGCCGTCCTTAGAGGTCGGCAGCAGGAGGAGGGATCCGTTGGCCAAATACTGCAGGAAGTGCCCCCCTTCCAAAGGCAGAGGGTGGCCATCCTGAAGCCAGGTGATATTGAAAGATGTACCGCTGGCCCCAAGGTTGCAGTCCAGCAACAGGGGCAAACCTGACTCCAACACTACATGGCTGGGCCCAGCCCCGCAGCTCAGCTCCACCGAAACAGGCTTTGCTGTGTGGGACAAAGACAAGAAAAGTTTGTTAACCATGCTCAACACCTGCAACCGTGTAGGTTAAGTTCATCTTTATTTAAAAAAAAGAAAAAGTCCCAACATGTTCTCTTTCGAATGCATTTGTCAGTGTTATTTGTGCACAATATGAATTATAAAAAAACTATTTACATAGCACCTTTACAATAGAACAAACTGAGATTTGGATTTTAAAAAATCACACCAAGATTTCGGCAAGAGTTATTGAATGGAACGGTGAACCAGAACTGTCAGATTTTTGGGTGTTTGCACCATCTTGACCTATGATTTTTATATCACTCTTTTAAGCATTTACGAGCAGGATATTTTGTGACATCCACTTGTCATGAAGGCAGTTTAGCAGGCAGGGTCACAGCTTAGATAGTTTTGAGTGTCATCAGCGTAAAAATGGAAACTGATCATATTTAGGTGTTATCATTAGTTGGCCATGAAGAAGCATGTATGTGGGAAAGATTACTGGACCCAGCACCGAGACTTTTGGCACCTCACAGTGAAACACCCTTTGCAGCTTGCCTGGAATCAGCAATACCAACGAAACGCCTGTCTTTTTAGGTAGGACCTAAACCATTGCAGAGCAGTGCACTTAGATCCAGGAGAATAATGGATTCATGGCCAGCATTAGCTGACGGCAATAAGTCATTTAAGACCTTAAGAAGAGCAGTATCAGAACATTGTTCTAAAACCGTAGCTAAAAATAGGAGCTTAGAAATGGGTATTCCTGTAGATGGAGAAATTGGTATAAATGAGACACAATTGGAGAATCTGGGGGAGAAGTGAGACTTCTTATGTTTTAGATCGCCTGTGTAAAAAAAGAAATACATTCTCAGCATGTCTCTGGGGCATCTACTATCTGGCCTAGAGAGGATTAATGACATGGTCATGAATGATCAACAACATTCTAGGCCTGGATTGATTGTTGTCGATTTAAGTAGCGAAATATACAGAGCCCCTCTGCCAACCTCTGTAGGAACCTTTTTATTGCTCTGTGAAAACAATGACAGCTAAACTATAAATTATATTCCCTTTTCTTCTTTGTTGATCCAATTATTCACACATCTGCATCATTTGTTATTTTTAGCTATTTTTGTATACTTTTTCAATTTCAGCGTTTGTGAATTTGTTATTTTATGGCATAACTTCAATAGAATCAATAGTGTTGCAAGCACAGATGGACAGGGGTAGTGCCCTCAGAGGCAGGGTGTTTTGGGGACAGAGAAGAGGCCAGAATAAGAAGAGGAGGAGGAGGAGGAGGAGGAGGAGCTCTGAAAATGAATTGGGTGCAGCGGTATTGAAGGGATTTGTATGTCAGCAGCAGGACATTCAAGTCTGTGGGAGAGAGGGGAAGTCCTGGAGTGAGAGGTTGATGAGCTGGTGTGAGATGAGCGGAGTGCTACATAAACTGCACTCAAAGGACATGCTGTTGTTTGCCCACAACAATTTTACCATCATTTTTCATTCTTCATCATTTGTATTTCTTACAAAACAAAAGTTTGACAAGGAAGTTGCAAATGATTTGAAACTGAATGCATTCATGAATGATCGTGCTGTGTATGTTACCTGCAGTTTCTCCTTTCTTTATATTTCTGTATCTTACCTGCACAGTTGCTATTGTTTGTTTTTTCACTCTATTTTTCTCAACATTCAGTTCTTTGAAGAACAAGATGGGTAGAAGGGTAAAGGAAATAGTGAAAGATCTTAGGAGAAAAGAGAATTAATGAAAAAGATCTAGAGGGAATTGGCAATGGAAGATAAAAAAGAACTGAAAAATTCAAAACTTGACTGACACGTCGCTAGTTAATTATAGATGAACAGGCTGGATAGCATTAGACGAATAAGGTAAAACCATGAAAAGTAAGGGTCAATAGTAGCTCTAGATTTTCACTATACTCACAGTTGACTTCCCATGCTATTCATTATCAGATGCTTACGGTACAATACAGTAAGTAATAATTGTGATGAAACATCACATACGTATTCTTATTGTCTAACCTCCTCTATAAACAAACATGGCGGCCGATTTATTTTTCCTGCTCTCAAGTGCAGCGGCAATTACTGCAGAGTAAGAATTCAACTGAACACATTTACACTGACAGTTTCGGTTGTCGCCAGTAGCCCCTCTGTCAGATGAAAGTAGTCTGTGTGAATGCGGACGCGTCTCAGCATTGGAAAGCACATTGCTATCGTGAGACAATCAGCCATTACAACTGATTAACCAGGTTTTGTAAGGTTCTGATGTCTTAATTTCAAGTCCACTGAAAAGAGAGGAAAAGCTGGTGATGTGACGGGAGTATGATGCTACACTGATTATGGAAAATGAGCCGGTGTTTCGGTTTATCAAGCGACCCTGTTAACTGGCGACTTTCAGCCGAATGTATCTGTGGTTGTCGTAGTTACGACAGCTGTTGAAAATAGGAAGAGAACACGCAGCTGTCCTTGTGAATGCCACATTGTTTAGTTTTTCATTACAGTGTCAAAACCTTCTCATAAACAGTCTATGGTCAAACAATGATACGAGTTTAAATCCTGTTACAATATATATTTTTTTACTTTTCAATTTGCTACAGAGTAACTTTAGTATTTCAAAGGAAGGGCAACTTGCTCCCTTCCTGTTTCAACACGTAAACAACAAGCAACGTTTCAAACGCGAGTGGACTCGTTTCCGCAAAAGAATCTCCAACGTCGAATCCGGTATGTTTTGACCATAGACCGTATATGAGAAGGTTTTGACATTGTAGGTGCTGGGTTCATAAGTGCCACCCGCAAAAGTGGCTAGTACACGCCTTTGCCAAATTAACGTTATGACGGCATTGGCGGATATTATGTCAAGCCCTCCTTGTTGGAATAGAGACAATTACCTCTGCAGCTAGGGCTTCAATTCTGAAAATAGTCGCTTGTTTGATGATGGACGAGAGGAAAGCACTGCTGCTGACAGTGGGCGTCACGTCAAGTGAAGGGTTTAAGAGTAGATTCACGCACACAAGCAGCTCTTTCAGCATGGCCATAATCCTGGTCTTTCCCAGCCATGCCTTAAAGTTCCTTTTCCAAGTGAAGACATTATTCATTATTAATTGTCATTTTTCTGGCATTGAGTGGATTTGCACGTCGTCGACTAGTACAACCAGATGTTTGCAACCTTATATACAGTCTATGGTTGCAACCGGTTGCAACTTAGATGAGATGAGAAAAATGTAACGTCAAGTGATGTAACTGATCTGCCCGAACAACCAGGTTTTACAAGTGAGGGGCCACCACAGCAATGATGAATTGTTTACTTCCACCTACAGCCTGGGTCCATATAGCTGCTGAATATTTTAAATTAATGTTAAGTCACTTAGAATGTCTTTTCCATGAAGTCATTTGTACATATCATTTTAAGTTCTCCTCTACAGTCCATTTGACAAACCTCTTCATGAATCCAGCTTAGAAACACAATTTTCTCACTTACACGTACATTAGCACACACACAGAGGCAGGTTTCTTTCAGCTCTTTCTCCAGCGTTGGATTAATTAAGTTAATGGGGGATGGCATTTTTTTCCTTGATTAAATGAGGCTTGACCGGCGGTTCACTTCCTGATGAAGAGCCTTGGTAAGGCTGAGAAAGACTGCACAGCGCTCTGGCACACACACACACACACACACACACAGCGTGGAGACAAGACAACATAAGCATGCATTATACACACTTATACCCAAAAGCAATACAAACAGAGACACACATGTAAAGAACACTAAAACACACTCACAATCTTGTCGGAACAACAAGACTACTGTACAAGCGCGCCAACACACACTGACACAGATCACCTCCCCAGCTCCTCTCTTCCTCACTCCCATTTCAACTAATTAGGTCTTATTAAGTCATTAAAATGTTAACAGCCATTTCCCAGCTCACTGCCAATGGTTTCACTTGGCGAGAGGTGGGGATCATTCAGAGCATTGGATATGGAAGCCATTACCATACTGGTGTAGACGTGCGATGAGGAACATGCAAATAGGAGGAAACAGGAAAACACTCATTTTCTTTTTGGGTAAGACACTGAAACCTTGTAAAACAAATAATAGGATGAAATAATTCATTGGTTAAAAAAAGTTACTGGAACAGTAAAGTCCGGTTACAGGACTAGCATGACCTGCTATCCTTAAAAAGACTCGGCATGGTAAGCACATCATATTTCAAGTAGTGGCTATTTCATCTAGGAATAAAAACACTTGATACTGAGACACCAGAAAGCTTGACATGCCCTAGATTTGTGGTCATGTGCAGCAAACACGCATATACACACATATTCACACCCTGATATGTAACCACACGCCCATTACAGCACACAGACAGATGCACTCCCACAGAGTAACTGCCAGTGTCTCATAAGGACACATTGTGGTAAAGGGGGGGGGGGGAGTATGTGAAGTGGCCATTTTGCCATTATACTGTAAAAGTGGGAGCTGCTGGAAAGAACAGGGTGGACTCTGGGCTATAGTAGCAGCTGTGCGGTTTCCCTGAGCTCTAGTGAATGGATTGTGATGGCACTGAGCCGAGAGGTTCATAGCTTACTCTAAGTAGACAGAGGACAGTGGTTTACAAAACGGAGAGGATGAAACAAAGCACGACAGGCAACAGGAAAATAACTGAGATAAAGACAACTAGGGACCATCTTGGGATCACAGCACCTACGACACCAAATCAGACCAAGGACTTAAAGTGTGTTGGGGGGGGGCAATGGCCGCTTCCCCACTTCCTGCTCCCTTACTTCAGGCGTCGTTGTTCGGACCAAACCGATCTTTCAACTTGGCCTTCATTTTGAGCTTGAGTAGGCCTCTAACCTGTAAAGTTTTGTGACTACATCTTGCACGGTTGTGACACTATCGTAGTGACAAAAATCTGTCCACAGACAGACATATACACACCTAGCAAAGTACTCAAAACTGCTTCTGTGGTAGTTCCTGGACCACATTGTGCAACGA